CCCCCTTGTGGAGTACTATGAAGCCGTTACCATGGCAAGTCCACTGTGCTGTGCAGTAGAAGCCATTTTAAGACACACACACATACACCCAAGGGGTGTTAGGGGTGTCTTACCCCCATAGTATTTGTTTCCAGAAGGTAAGTCATCTGTACCAAGTTTGGTTGAAATTGCTCAAGGAGTTCCAGAGTTATAATATATATATATATATTAAGATTAACTCTCAAATGTTTTGCAGAACAGTCTTGTTCTACAGCCTTTCCAGGATAGGGGTGCCAGAGGGAAAGGGCTACAACAGGAGGGGTGGGGGGAAATTTGCCTCCAGAGCCTCCATGTGTGGTAAGATTTTAAGCTTTGCTTTCTGAGTTAACCATATGGAGCAGGCTAATTCTACTTGAAAGAGGCAGTCTTGACTATTGTTGAGAATCACACCAGGAAGGGTTCTAGAGATTAAAATCAGCATTTGGATCTGTAAACTACAAATTTACTGGAAAAGTTAGTTGGATGAAATCCCTTAACAGTAAGAGAGAATACAGTATCAATGGCATTTCCATATTATTTTTAAAAGCAGGCCCTATATAAATACATTGCAGTAGATTAGCTTTAAGAAACCATGACAGGATTTACTGTCTGTTAATTCTCCGAGCTTTCATTCAACTGAATGATTCATACAGCAACAGACAAAACCAAGGATTAGGTTGGGAATTTAATAATGCCATTTGACTACTCTGTTTCCCCAAAAATATGACCTACCCCGAAAGTAAGTCCTAGTTTGATTTTTACACGTGCGCCCAATATAAGCCCTACCCTAAAATAAGCCCTAATTAAGATCCCGCCCACTCCAGAGTGCACAGGTGAAAATTATGCTAGGATGGGAATAGGGTGTGTGGAGCTGCCCTACTACTTACCTTTTGTAGCCAGGCCTTGCACACCTTTCTGGCCTATTTCTTCTGTAGCTGGCAAGGTTGGCAAGGCTTTCCTGAAGGCCTCTATAGCTCATAACTAAGCTCAGGATCAATCTGGAGCTCTGTTATCTGCTGCAGGAACCTTCAGGAAAGCCTTGCCGGCCACAGAAGAAATTCCTAAAGGCCTCTGACAGCGAAAAGGAGGCCAGGGGCAATTCGTGCAAGTGAGGTTAGTGGATGACATCCCCTGAAAATAAAACCTGGTGACTTTTTCTTTGCTGGCAAAAAAATATAAGACAGGGTCTTATTTTCAGGGAAGCAGTACTTATATATATATAATTATATACTATTGTTAAATATCACCTCCTACAAAAATTGTTAATTACATAAATCAACTTTGTTAAGACTTTGCAGCTTTGTGACAATGTAAATAGATCTATATTTAACCTTGGACATTTATATACTATTGAAAATCTAATTGTCATGACCTTTAAGTGGGTGAAACAATGGATCACAGGGCAACAAATTTTAAATGATTATGAATGGTATAACTTATGGCCATGATGGCGAACCTATGGCACACATGCCAGAGGTGGCATGCAGAGCCCTCTCTGTGGGCACGTGAGACATCACCACAGCTCAGCTCCACCATGCATGTGTACACGCATCTGCCACTGGCCAGCTAGTCTTTGCGATCTCTGCCGCACATGCAAGGGGGGTGGGGTGCATGCGGGGGTGGGGTGCATGCATGGGTGAATGGGGCATATGCGCAGGGCACGTGCGCAGGGGACATGCATGTATTGCATTTTGGGGATGCACGCATACGCGCTTTGGGCACTCAGTGCCCAAAAGGTTAGCCATCACTGACTTATGGAATGTTGCAGAATCTGAGACCCATGACTCCCAAGGGAATGAAAGTTGGGAAGTAGTGGCTACTTCAGTGTTACTGGCTATTGTTATGCTGCTGGGCTCCTGGTGCAGTCATGTGGTTTTCATTTTCAACATTATGTGACAGTTTCCCAGCCAGTCTTGCAATCCCTCACTTCCTTCCCCCACCAAGCAGTAACTGCTTACCTGTTGAAGGGAAGGGAGGGAAGGAAACCCTGTTCACCTTGCAGGCTTATGCCAACTCCCATATGCACTCGGAGACCTGTGCCATCCCCAATGGGCCTTCCCTGATCTATGCCACCTACCTAAATGCCTCCCCTGACCCATGCAGGACCTTCCCTGACCCATGCCATCTCCCAAGCACTCTCCCTGATCCATACAGTACCCAAATGTCTTTCCTGATCCATGCCGCACATCTTGTACACCACTCCCAAATCCTTATTCCTACATGCACTAACCCATGCTCTACTTCTTATGCATACACATCCTTCTTGACTGCCCCTCCCACATGCATTCCCTGACCTGCATATCACCCCTTGTGTACTTAAACCATACCAGGCCCCAGCACACCTCTCACACACACTGATGACCCCCCCCCCCGTGCATTCTTCTTGACCCACATTACCCCAAGGAAGGAAGGAAAGATTTTTTTATGATCCCTGCCAACTTCTCACAAGGAAAATCAATGTGCAGGCCAGCAAGAAGTTGGAAGTCGCTCCTACTCCCACTGCTTTTCTTTTTGCCCACTTGTTATCATTCTTTTCTGTTTAGATAAGGAAATATCCCTGAAATAATGATTCAACAGGGCACAGATTGTCCACTGACAAAGAAATCCTAGAATCTGAGTAACCTGGAATAAAAGTTCAGTTCAAAGCACTAAAAGTTTATTATGTGCAACTTATACACAAGAATCTGATCTACTAATGGTCAAATCAAACTGGCACTAAATGAGGGTCAATGGAATTCATAGGGGGTTGGACTTGGATCGCTTGTGGAAGCGTAGCAATTCCAAACTAAGGATGCATTTTACCCCACCCTTGGGCTCAACCTATTCATCTTCTACAGAATCATTCCTATTTGATTCTTTGAACAGATTCTGCTTTTTAGTATTGTCCAATATAGGCAACCTCTGGCATTCTAGATGTTGCTGAATTAAAGTTCTCAACACCACTCAAATATATTAGACTATAATTTCCATAATTCCAGACAGCAATAATTGGCCATGTCTCCTAAGGATTCTAAGAATATAATTGAGCAGCATATGGAGCCAGTTTGTCTATCTAGATGTCTTCTAAGCCAGCTATATTAGACTAATTCCTATTATCCTGGGCAGCAAGTTGTCTAGGGAAGATGGGCATTCCAACACATCCGGAAATTATAGATACTAGCTGCAAGAGCAGATGTTGAAAATGTTGAGCTACAAAAATAAGGGACTGATTCAGTATTCACATACAGTTCTAAGACATGGTTGGAAGAAGAAAGCACTGACTGCATAACAGATAATGACAATCTGTAACACTCTAGTTTATTAGAAACAATGGCTTGGCAAGATGGATATTCCAACACATTGAGGCAAAACAAAACATTCTATTTCAGAGTGATTTTTTTGAAGGCTATTTATATATGGTATGGTTTATGGTTTTAATATTACTGTAAGTGCATACCCAGTTATAATAATGACTTCATCAAATCATGGTTAAAAAGAAGGAAGAGTTAGCTCTAGCCAGCTTCTTATATTCCTGGTAAGATTAAAGTCTTACCAAAGGCTATGTACAGGACCTGATGGATGAACATGGTTGTTTAAAGGAAAATAAAATAGTTCAGCTTTCTCCCGAATTTGATAAGGCATTGCAGATTTCAATGAAACCAACCAGCAACTATGGGAGTAATATTCAGTATACTCTACAAATCTACTAAAATACTACTGGTTCATGGAATTTACTCCTGAGTAATATATTTACATCTAGAAATTTTGCACTCATCTGTCTGCTGACTTTGGATATTAGTTCCATTGTCATGGGGCACATAAATTAAAAATAACCTTTTTAATCTTCCCTTTAGAGAAGCCTGCACAAATATGATAAAATCACCCTATAAATGCTGATAAATACCATACCGCTCACATAATAATCTGTAAAATATGCATCATATAGGTTGCCATTTCTTTCTCCATAGGGAGGAACCAGTTTAAAGTATAATCAGTCAAAATAAACAAGTTATAAATGTATCTTATAGAGAGAAAAATTAATCCTATAGGCTGTCAAAGGAAACTGAAATATTAGATCCTATATTTTGGAATTATCAGAATTTGACATGAGTTATAATTGTATAATAGTTGCAGTTAAATCATTGAAGAAAGAGGAAGACCCAAATTTTAATCTCTGCCAATCATGGAAACTCTCTGAAGTTATTTGTTTTCTTGCAGACGTTTCATTACTCAAACTTAGGTAACTCAGTACTAGTACACTAAGTAAGTGATGTTACCTAGATCAGGGGTCCCCAACCACTGGTCCACGGACCGGTACCGCTCCGCGGAACAAGTCCTACCAGGCCGCTGGCTTGCTGGGCGCCGCCATCTTTTTTTGATGAAAAAGTGCTTCCGGTGAGCTTTTCCGGGTAGAAAGCTCACCGGAAGCACGTTTTCATCAAAAAAAGATGGCGGCGCC